CAACTGGACGATGCACAAATTGTCAATGATCTTCCAGCATTTCCTCCCCGCCTTCATTGGGGATAGCGTCCTATCGATAATCGGGAAGAAACCCTTCCTGAACAAGGTGTACGAGCAGATCAGCGCAATGCAGTCCGCCCTCTCGTTCTTCACCACTCATGAGTGGACGTTCAGAACGGAGAAATTGGAAGAGCTCTCCGAGTTTCTGGACGAGAACGATCGTCGGGAGTTCGACATAGACGTGGGTTCGCTCATCTGGGACGATTTCCTGGTTGATTACGTTCGGGGTCTCCGCGACCACGTCCTCAAAGAGGAACACAAGGGGGAATCTACCCGGATCCGGACCTTGTACCTAATCAACCAGGCCCAAAACTGCCTTCTGGCCTGCGGCGCCTTAGTCGCATTCAAAGAGATCCGATGGCTTGCGGAATCCCTAGATGGATATTTCTCCGCTTGACGTCGCCTCTGATGAAGGGTGACTATAAGGGACGACGGACCGTCGCAGGACCGATACTTAGGGAATATTAGGTAATTTTTATTTTACGAATATTTATATTTATTGTTAAAAAAAGTCAAATATATTTATCTTACTTAGTGACGACGTCGTTGGAGTGAACCGGGGTTAGCGGCATGTGATCTGTGAGGAAAAAGAAGAATCCTTCCCCGGTAGAGAAGAAGAAAGCATCATTCGTGATGACGCAAAGTGAATAAAGTTACTCGCTTAAATAATTCGATTCTTTTACGTTTCTGGTCCCAGCAAGGACGTGGTAGCTCCAATCATGCTCATCGACGCTTCGTTTTCTCTATGTGCGTCGGGTTCTAGAGCACCTGACATCGATTAGGTGCGTGTGTTCACTCCTCACTCCTGAGAACTTCGACGACAAGCAGTCGCTTCCCCCGAGCTCGCGCGGAGTCCTCATACTGATTGTGAGATGAATAGGTCCGAAGCGGCATATAGGCCTCCAATGATTTCTTCTATCGATCATGGGTCCGAACAGCGTCTGCGTGGAAACAGGGGGATATTGAGTCCCGGGAATTTCAGCAACTGAGCCATGCCGACGATCAGCCGGAGTACTTTGACATAGGGATGAGTCCCTCTCGATAGTGACGAGAAGGATCCAGGATGCTGACAGCACCCAACAATGAAAGTCGTCCGCTGTGCTCTCAGAAAGCTTTCTGCTAGAGAGTTCTGCCGTGGTCTAGATCCGTCCGATATCTCGAAACTCTACGATTAGATAGTCAGATCTGGATGACTGGAACTCGATCATGGGAGGAGCTCTTGACGAGATATCGTAAATTAGAGACGTCGAACCGGTCGTCCGCCACCGCTTTCGGCATCGATTCATTGTTCTACTCTAGCAGAGAGGATTCTTATGGTTGATTTTCATTGTACCTGCATCGCTGTCCTCATGCCCCGCTCTGGACTTTCGAATCGATGAATGTGAGCGAGGGTTCGCATCGAAAAAAATTCTCAGCTTTAGTACCCAGTCGACGGGCTGCCTTATCGTGGCTGCGATAGAGTACGCAGCCGCATGTTTCCGTCAAGTATAGCTGGTGATGTCCGCGGCTGATTGGTCCGTCGAAGTACTCACGTTAACCGGCACCCGAGTACGATAGGAAGCAGCCCGCACATCCTAATGATAATCTATGTTTCTCCTCCTATCTTTGCTCCATCTTGTTCCCAAGTTGACAGCGCGCCTGTCAAGATGTTCACGGGTCGGCAGAAGTTCCGTTCCAAAATAAGCTCGTCCGCTCTGTCACCATGTATTTATCTCCCGATCCGTTTGTTTTCGTTAATAAATAGCCGTTCGCTCGGCAGCAAACAGCGAGTAGGAGCCGGCCTCGCTTCGGAGGTGGTTCAATGAGTAGCGGTAGGCCCGAATCTCACAGGACGGTCGCAGAGCGGTGAGCGAACATCTGTCCTCGAGATAAAGTATCGTCTGGCCTATCCACTCACGCACGCTCGCGGCTTCAAATATAGCACACTAACAAATGGAGCAAGTACTGCTATCAGGTCATGAGAATGGCTGAGCAGTTCTTTGGTGCCACCTGGATTGCGGCTGACAGTCGAGCGCGCGAGGAGCTCAAACAATGGAGTGTGTCACGCGTCTCTGCGATGAAACCATGTTCAGATTTGTCCCCATCGAATGCCGTGGCTTCCGAACAACCTCTCCGCCTATTGAGTAGCATCACGAAGTTCGTAACATGGCGTGAATATCCGTTTGAGCGTTGGAGGTCGGTTAGCCACCGGTGATGTGATCTTAGCGTTCGAGAGAACTCCGAGTAAAGGACCTGCTGCTCCTCTGTCAGGTTACAGAGAAATCGAGGACGAACAATGGAGTCTAGACAAACAGATTCTGCACCCGCCTTGTCCACTTCCGCGAATCTCGATGCATCACTCACACATCAGTACAAGTGGCCTGACTAAGTTTACCGAAGAGGCTTGTGAATGTCGAAATGCGTGCCACACAAGTCATTTGGGACCTCAACAATGACACCATGTCGGCGATCCTGGTCAAATTCCGATGCAAGCAAACTCCTCGGTGCGGAACTAAATGACTGATACATCACGGGCTTCGCTTCAGGAGTTTTTGACAAGAGGAATTATTCTGATGATTTTTCCTTCTTCGGCGACCGTCGACATTCGGACGACATGCTCGCCGCTCCACGATTTATCCAAGTATTTTCCCGAATTCTGTCGCTCTAAAGGGGCGCGTAGTTCGTTCGTTCGCTTACTTGAGATCACCCTGATAGAGTTCAGTCGCATGTCCGGAATTCTCGAAACAGCTTTTTTCGATGAATGAATAAGGCTCAAGGTGATTTATCTTTATGTCCTCTTGCCTGCAGTCGTTGTAGAGAAGATCCACATCCGCGATCAGCTGACCTATGTACAGATTGAATGTACAGGCTTGCTCTGGAATATTTCTCCGCAGTCTACAAAGGATGATTCTGTCTATTCTTCGCGACACAATGTCGGCAGCTCCACCTCGATGTCCATCAGAGAACAAAGTTTCAATTTCTTCGAAAATCGCTCCGGAAGCCGGAAGCACCGTCGGCATTTTCTCGCCGCTGCCGCAAGACAGCAGTCATGCTGTTCATCGTATACAAATGTACGAAAAATTCCCACTTCGGACGATTGTAGCGATGATGGCCTTACGAGCTATGCAGAGCTCTCGATGACCAGAAGCGCGACGACGAATTCAGTTTTGCGAATCGAAGGCGGGAGCTCCTCGGCTTGGCGACTGGAATCCCTCCTGGTCGTTGCGATCTCCTCTAGGGCGCCAAAATCGGCCCTGGAATTCCCTTAAGGGTGATGAGGGCTCGATGACTCTCTATCCATCTCGTGGCGCAGAGCGGCTCGAGTCGCCTACCTACGATGGTGTCGCAATGACGCTCGACTTGATTTCCGAGCGCGGCGATGCGCTGAGACGAGCTCGGTATGAAGGCGCGAACGTTAGCAATAGTTCCCACCGCATTTCCTATCGCGATTATCTCCGACAAACGAACCATCGCGAGGTTAAGGCTGAGACCTGCGCTATTAGGGTACAGCGCTTGAGGTTTTGTGGACATTCGTCTCTGAACTCCTTTGAATGCATCGCTCATTGTACTGCATCCGTCGCAGCCTTATCGCCGCGACTTTGTCATATCGATGCCCTCGAACCCCAGAGTTTCCAAGATGATTTTAGTGAGACCTCTACCCGTTCTGTTCGGCACTCCGGAAAACATCAAGAGGTTTTCAACCACGACATTTAGTCTTTTCTAGGAGAAACGTACCGGAGACATATTTTGAGCTGATCAATCATGCCGGCATCTCGCGTCTCACCCGCGAGTACCGGAAAAAAGCTGATTACGATATCTACGCACAAATCTTCTGCCTGAATATTTTCCCGGTAGTCTTCATCACTTCGTTCTGGATTTTCGGACTTATGTAAGGGTCGTTCGAGCCGGCTCCGCTCAGATGATCTCGCACCACCACGTGACCGGCACCCACACGGAACCTCAAGAACGCTCTGATGTTTCTGTCATTACGCCTCGATTCTTCGCTGGGATCCCCATCATTCCTGTGGCCTTTCAGAGGCGAGCCTTGTACTCCACAGAGTATCATGGTTTTCACTATGGACGAGAGGTTTTTTCGACTCTCGATAGCTTGTTTCCTTCTTCCTTCGTCGGCCAAGCTCCCAGTGTCTAGCTTCTCCGTATCCTCAAACCTCTTCAGGAAGATTTCTGCGTCGATACTGGCCTTGACGTGACACCAAGATGCATCATGCCATCTCGGTGTTTCGGGGGTTCTCGCGAGCGTAGCGAGCGGCGAGTTCACGAGCACGCCGAACGCTCGGCAGCCTCTGCGACCGCTTTCATTCCGCGCAATGAATACACACACTTTGCAGAGGGCTCCATTTCTCTCCTGTGAGACAGCCATGTCCATTCTCGCAGGATCTCACATCGGAGACGTCTGTTCCTTCCATTTTGCCTCACCTCCAGGAATTCATAATTCCCATCGGGCGTCCAGGTGACCAGTACAGCGTTGCACTTGTCATGCTCGCTGACAACCGCGCTGGCACCCACAAAGTCACCTATGTCCCATAAGTTAAGGAGAGACTTGACTCGTTCAGCTCGACCATGAGATCCGGGCTCACTCGGATCAGCGACAAAGGAGGATTCGGGCTCTTCTCCTCTCTTCTCGGGTCTTGAAGAGCACGTTCTGAGGAGCCATTCGACATTTTCTGCCCGAAAAATGATGTCAATACAGCTTGTTTCCTCTTCATGATCATTGGGGAGCGCGACCCCTGACCAACAGCTGATCGCTAAAAACGCGGCTCACGGTATTTTTCTGCTCGTGCACGTTCTTGAAATTTCGGGGGGAGGGCGGAGGGATTAAAATACTTATCGCGTCTCTGACAACCTTTACGATTCAAGCCGTTTCGAAGCCTTAGTCCATTGCTCATTCATTCGGATCTTCATATTCGACGATACCATATCCGATGGAGGTGTGATCGATTTCCGTCGCGTTTGGTGCGACCGCATGTGACCCTCTTGATCTTCTAGAGAATCAAAATCGAGAGCAGATCACTTTTATGTGTGTCCATGAGACATTTTCAACGGGGAATGCGGACGCAAACACTGTGCGAGGTGTCTGGGATGTGGATTCCCGCGGTATCCATGAGCTAATGGAAAAGACCGTGGACGCTGATGGACGCCGAGCTTTGAATTCACCTTCCCTGTGGTTGAAGCTTCCCGAAAAACTTTGGCCCACACTCGCGGAGATCGTCAGGTAAGCGATCGGTAGCTCTGACCAGGAGTTTGTCCATATATCCCCTCATGATCCTCCTGCGAACGAACAAGCTCTCTTGTGGAGAAGAGAAGCCAAGAGCGGGCTCAGTCTTGCGCGGCCGTAGAACGATATCTTAAAGACTACTATGGTCATTCATACCCGGAAAACAATATCTTAAGGAATTCAACAGTAGTCAAGAGTTTATTCAATACTTATCTAATAGTCAATTTATCATAATAGTGCATATATTAGAATTTTACTACCTAATTTCTCGGAGAGATATACCTAGGACGGGTCAATGTCCCCACTCATCAGTGGCGACATCAAGCAGAGAACTATCCTTCTAGGGATTCCGCAAGCCATCGAATCTCTTTGATAGCGATTAAGGCGCCGCAGGCCAGAAGGCAGTTTTGCGCCTGGTTGATCAGGTATAAGGTCCGTATGCGGGTAGATTCCCCCTTGTGCTTCTCCTTGACGACGTGGTCGCGGAGACCTCGAACATAATCAACCAGGAAATCGTCCCAGATGAGCGAACCCACGTCTATGTCGAACTCTCGACGATCGTTCTCGTCCAGAAACTCGGAGAGCTCTTCCAATTTCTCCGTTCTGAAGGTCCACTCATGAGTGGTGAAGAACGATAGGGCCGACTGCATGGCGGTAATCTGCTCGTACGTCTTGCTCAGGAAGGGTTTCTTCCCGATTATCGATAGGACGCCATCCCCAATGAGGGCGGGGAGGAAATGCTGGAAGATCATTGACAATTTGTGAATCGTCCAGTTGCTGCGTAGGGTGAGGGCGGGATAGCGGACGGCATTATTGAACGTGACCTCCTTGACGAGCTTCTTTTGGAAATTCGCGAAGTCGCCCCAGGTGAAACTTGGTGCCCGATCGCCGATGGCACAGTTGTAAATTCCAATTTCCTTGGAATCTGTGGTTCCTGCTCGCCACGCAGCGAGGATCACGGTTTTTGCGACGACGTCGACCGGGATCAAGTCGGTCCTCATTTCACTTCTCGAGTAGATTGACTTGAGCAGCCCGCAAGCTGTCGAACAGACCATTCCACTCGGTCCGTTGTAATTGTCCACCCACCCTGGGAAGGGTTCGGACATGGAAGCGACCACGATCGACGGTCTGACTATCGTGATCGTGAAGGGCACGGTCTCGTTGTACTTCTGGATCATGAGCTCCGTGAGGTGCTTTGTGAAGGTGTACGTATTCGGCTTCTCGGCCAGAAGCTCTTCCTGCATCTTCTCGAGACTCTTCTCGTCGAGGCACTCGACCATCTCCATGATCTTCTCACTGTCGTGCTCGCTGTCGTAGATGCGCTCTTCGATGACATCATTATCACAGTTTGCGTAGCACGTGGATATGTGGACGAACACCTTGAGTTTTTCGAACGTCCTGGCCATGTCGAGTAGCTTCTTTGTGCCAAACAGATTCATGTGGACCGCGTCTCGGAGCGGAGCGTCGAATCTCACCGACGCTGCCGAATGCACCACGATGTCCACTTCTTTGCGGAGGGTCTGGAGGTCCTCGTCACTCACGCCCAGGCGGTCTTGTAGCATGTCCCCGTTGACGAATTTGACCTTGCCCAGAAGTTCCGGGGTCTCGTTCCGGACGCGGTCGAAGAGCGCAGTCTTGAAGATCTCGGCAAATCGCTCCTGGAGAGTCTTTCCGCGCTTTGGACGAGCCAGGACGAAGATGGAACCCACGTCGGGGCATGAGCGGAGAATTTTCTCCAGAAGTACTTTCCCGACGAAGCCGGTGCATCCAGTCACGAAAAGAGTCTTCCCAGCGAAGAACTCGCTCACGCCGACGTACTGCTCCATGACGTGAGAAACCTGGGAGTGCTGGGGAGAATCCGGGTAAAACTTATTCGGCTCAAGGAGTTTCCTCGATGTTGAGTCGCTCCCAGTGTGGTTCCGGAGGTCGGTGCGATTGTTTGATAACTCATCGAGGTTCCCCGACGTAGTTATAGGGCTCCAGCGAGGAGGATCAGAGAGAGAGTCCTCTAGGAGCCCCTCCGGGTTAGTCCCATCATCAGAGCCCAAATGCAGTTGTTACGTCGCCGGGGAGGAGAGGAACCCGCGACCGAGGGTTGAGAGTCGCGTCGCTTGACGGTGGGACCCGTTCTGGGCGGATTAACTCATGAATCGTCAGCACAAAGCTTCTCGTAGCGTGTAGTAAGTTCAATCCTGCCAGACGGCATCCCCAATGCGGAGGCTCGGTCATTTTCTCTCGGTCGACCGCAGGCGAAGTCGGATGATAAGCTGTGCAAGTCCAACACGGACGCCGGATCGAGCAATTGAGGGGGCGTGTTTCTTTTTGGGCCGTTCTGAGATCGTCCGCGGGCGCACTGCGGAGAGCGGACCCATCTAGGGCGCGCCATACCTTGAGAACATGGTGGCTACAGGTCTACGAGGTTCGATCAAGGTGGGGTGAAAATGGTTGCACCCGATTCTCGCGGCATGAGGGGTCCGGCCGGAAGGCTCGTGGATCATCCTTGAGAGGAGTCGGATGTTCCGAGAAAAACATCAATCTGAGGTATCGATGTTTTCTATTCGTGCGAGCTTTTCGGAGTAGAATTAGATCGCCGTGAGTTTCGTACAAGCTTCGTTGACGAAGCTCTACGTTGCCAGGCTCCTACGATCGGGAACGTGGGAGACCCTGCGTGATATTTTGAGAATTAATAGGACACATTGCTCGGTGCAGACATACATGAATATACGTTCCATTTGATCGAATATGAATATCATGTGTATAGAACTCTATGGAGAGCTCCAACCTGTACTATGGACACGGGAAGAGTCCCCTCCCCGAGTATGGATCCCATCCAGGGGGTGGATTGCGTTTAATGTCCCGGAAAATTCGGAAATCCTTCCCATGTACACAGAGATGAAGTTTCCAAGAGTGGAACCACCCGAAGCTGCACGAAGACTCTCAACGTCCAGCAGGGGGGGTGTTCACTCATTCCTCTCCGCTCTCGGCCGGGAAGTCAAATTCCTGATTGTCCTTTGTGACATCCGGGCCAATTGGACACCGACATTAGGAAGTGCAAGGAATTCTGCTTTAATTTACGGGCCCCTGGATTTTAGTCGTGCGAACTGATCTAATCTGAAGAAAATACCGTTTTTCACTGTGAGCGCCTTTCCGGAAGTGGGGGTGCTACGAAAACCGGGAATCTTCGCAAAGACCGTCTAGACGTACGCAGGCCGGCTCACTCGACTTGTCTTGTGAATGTCGCGAATGCACGTCTCGCCGGATGCCGGCAGGCGACGTGTGCAGCGATCGAGCTTGGGGGACCTGTCGCGAGGAAGCTGAGGAACTTATCGCCAGGAGCTTGAGGAACTCATCGCGAGGAGCTTGAGGAACTTATCGCTTGAACGTATCCAGCCGCAATAAATTGCATTACGGGAATCCAGTCTCGCCCTGGAAATATTCTGTCCCTCATGATGGCCGGCTTAGACGCTTCCTTCGGAAGATGACCCATTTCGGAGAGGATAGCGAACCGCGAGATATAAGGGACGAATGATGTGTCGAGCCCCATATCTCCTCTTCGGTGGGGGATTGGCCCGTTCACCAATCATCACCAGCGAAGAGCCCCGGAGCATAGACCTCTGGGAATCCCGACGATTTTCGGATCGAGCATCACCCATTAGGATTGGAAACGGGGGCCCAGAGGAGACGGCCAGGGAGAGTCCACAGATCATCATCGGAGTCGAGGGCAAGAAAGGCTCAATTTGGAGACTTCTCGGGATTTGAGTTCATGTCCAATTCGATCACCCCGTACTGGGCATTGTTGAGCGGCGCGGACTCCGACGGAGGCTAAGACTCGGGTACCAGATAGCATGAGCTGATTCAAGTCTTACTCAAGTCTCGAATACTTCCGGAAGCGAGAGTCCGATGATCTTCCGGAAGGCGTCGAGGTATCTTTCGGAAGACGCTGGAGTATCGCCCATCCCGCCCTCGTGAACTCATGAGCACACCCGTCGCAAATTCAAAATTAGACTACCCGAAAATCTTCAAGATACACAGCAGCCATCCGATACACCAATCGGGCGCCAGGGCTGACCTCAACAAGCACAGGCCAATTTCAGTTCTGCCGTCATTGAAAGACATTGTTGAAGGGTAGATCGGATCTCAGCTGC